TACAAACTAATTTATTAATAAGAAGAAAATTAGAATTAGAATTGAATATTAAAAATTATTTTTTCGATGTATAGATAATAAAATAATTTTTTATCTAATGTATATTAAAAAATACAGCCATTATTCAATTAGATACATTATGGATGTATTTATTAATTCACTTGGAATTTTTTAAATTCTAACAATTTTTCTTTATCCTTCTTGCATCTTCAAATATTTTGGAATCTTCAGCAATATTTTTAATGGATTTCATATAAAAATATGATTGTTTAAATATACAATTTTTCTCTAAATTTTGTTTTGGCATGCTATTTTTATATTGAAGATGCTATTTAGTTGAAATAATTATTATTTTAAATAAATGGTAGTAATAAATAAAAGACTGATTTAAAATTTAAAAGTACCAAATGATATATGAATTTTGATTGAGTAAGGAAAAAAAATGCTTATATGTTTACTTGAAGTTATTTCTATTTGTATAAGCAAAAATAGTGTTTTTTAATTTTAAAATTAAATCTAAAATTACATGTATTCAATTTTTGAAAAATTACAAAATGTAGCAAAAAAAAAAAAAAAAAACATTTTGTCATGAATATGTTTTTAAATATTTAACAAATCTTATTTTTCAGAATTTTATCATTTCTATATATAACATAATGGTAGATTTTCTGTGGAAGAGAATGTGCTTACAAAATTCAGTTTGAGTAATAAATGGAAAATAAAGAATTGCCTTAATCTTTCAAATGACAGATAATGGTTAATTTGTAAATTATTATTAAAAATAAAATTATTTTAAAATTTGGACATTTAACAAGATAATAAATAAAAAAAAGAGGGCAAATAAAGCATATTAGTTGTAGATAAAAATTCAGCAATTTTTAGAAATTAAAAAACAAATTATGCATGGTAGTAAATAATTTATAAATGTAAAATATTAATAAAATTTGAAATTAATTTAATTTTAATACATTTATTTGAAATTGTTATTGTAGAAACATTTAGTAGTATATGTTCACAAATTATTTATCCTATTAAGAATAATAGATGATGTCACTATATGCATTCGAATCATTTAAAAAACTTTTTTGCCTTACAACAAATGTTATTGACATAACCAATACATCCTATCACCAGCAAAAATATCATAAAAGCAGAGCTCTTACCCCATTGATTAATTCTTACCCCCTCTAATAACGATTTTAAGCAAAACCTGAAGATAGGCTCATTCATATTTGGCTATTTTTCCAGGTTACTAAATCAAAATAAATGTCTCATTTTTGGTGCAGTTTGGAGCAGAAATGCGAAATTTGTCGTTTTTGTAGCAAAATGTAACAAGGGATGAATTTTGGCGCATATTTTCTACCCCTGCGAATAGAGCTGTTTCGAATTAAAGCTCATTAGTTAATTTAGTAAAGTTAAAAGACAAATAGCAATCATCGTTATTAACTTAGAAAATTTATGATGATTACAAATAAAATATGATGCAATTTTATAGGGTGGTCTCATAAACATTTTAACAATTCATTGCCTATTCAAGATTGAAAAGTGAAAACTATCACGCATAGAATTATTCGATTAGCGTTTTGACAGTTTTTTTTGGAAGAAAAATTGAATAAATGTATCTCAATTTTTTATTTAATTCAACTCATTTAACAGAAACCATTTCAAATGTAATATATTTAACTACTATGCTAAATTTAATTAATTTTATGACAAATTAATTAATTACAATGCATTATTACTTTTTAAGAAATATTGAAAAAACAGAACATATTACGGTGCCCAAAATGTAAGACCAATTTTTTTTTTTTTTTTTCGAAACCTCTTTATTTATTTTACCAAATTTATTTAATCGTCTTCAAAGTAATCCCTTCTGGACACAATGCACTTATGCCAACTTTTTTTCCAATCCGCAATGCATGCTAAAAAGTCATCGGCAAGGATGGCCTTCAAATCGCGGTTCGATTCACGTTGAATCTCTTCCATCGACTCAAAACGGTGTCCGTCGAGTGAACTTTTGAGTTTAGGGAATATCTAGAAGTAGCACGATGCTAAATCAGATGAATACGGTGCTTGTGGAACGATATGAGTTTTTTTTTTTTTTTTTTTTGGCAAAAATGTCACGAAGAATCAATGCAGTGTGAGTTGGTGCATTTAGTGTTTTCGGTACCAATCGAGATTTGGCGCATTTGAGGCCCAAAAGGGAATTGACCGATTCATTTGAAATTTCAACATTACCAGCAAGGTCTCTAATTGTAAATCGGCAGTTTGCAAGCACCAAATCTGATTTTTTTGGGCGTGAGCTTCGTCGGTTGAGTTGATGGTCGATCTCAGGGCTGCCACGCGTTCTCTGAACTTTTATACCACTTCTAAATTTTTCTTTCTGATATAGGAATGCTCACCGAATGCCTTCTGCAACATTCTATACGCTTCCACAAACAAAATTTAATGCAAGTTTTTGCTCAATTAATTCAGACATTTCAAAAATCGCCGGAATCAGTTTTAGCGTCTCACAAAGCCAAGCGTAACTCAAACACTAATGAATATTTTGACGTCAAATGTCACACAGATGTCAAGGACACTGCCAGCAACCTAAAAAAGGAACAAAAAAAAAAAAAAAAATTTGAAATTTCATAAGCCTCGGGAAATTTAAATTGAAAATTGGTCTTACTTTTTGGACACAGTAGTATAATATAAATTAATAATACTTGAAGTTCATATGCATGTTTTAAATAATTTGTTTTTCAAAATTAAATAATTTGAAATTACATGAAAGAAAATGATTACACTAATATAAATGATAATGTTAATGAAATATTTTCTTACCAATAATTTGTGATTTTTCTGAGAATCTGATCTGAAAAAAATTATATTGATTAAATTTACAAACAAATAAAATTCTTATGGTAATTTTAATATAAATGTTACGAAAACACCAGGGGCAAATAAGAATTGAATAAAATGTAAATTAAATAACACAAATTTCCAACATGAAAAATATAATTAACAAATACTTTTTAATTCTGGAAAGAATTAAATAAAACTGAGGTTAGTAGTTAGAAAACATTAATTAAGGTATAATTTATTAAAAATCCACATTTTTATTTGAAGTAAAATTGTAATTTAATAAAATATCCAGCATTGCAATAATACGAATATAGTAAAGCAATGATTCTTTGAAGATATAATACATGAAAAATATAATACAGACATGAATTGGTTCAAATAGTAAATCAGTTCAATTAAAAAAATTGTAAGTAAATTATTTATTACTTATACTTCAACATCAAAAATTAAAGATGCTGTCTTGAAAATAAAAATTAAACCATGCAATAAAAAATATAAGCTTTCTACTGAGCTTTATCTTTTTTTTAAAACATTTGTTGATTTTATTTAAAGTAGAAAAGTGCTAAAATTTTTCTGCTTAGTTAATTAAAGTATTAATGGTTTAAATCTTTATTTTATTCAACCCTGTTCATGTATAATGACATATTTGATTATTAAAAAAATTTTAGAAAATATATACTTATCTATTCATTTGAGTTTTAAAAACACCATATTTCAAGTTCATGGAATCAGAAACAGAAAGTCTATTAACACATTTTACACTAATTTTTGAACTACAAGTTAAGTCTTTCCATAAATATTGATATTGAAAAAACTATCAATAAAATAAAAGTTTCCATTCTATTGGCCTTCTATTGAATTTTTAAAAGTTATCTGGATCAACTTTTTAATACAATAATTTTAATTAATTTGAAATAATCTAGTATGTATTTCTTACAAATTTTATTAAGGTTGAGTTTTGCTTTGATATATAAAAAATATACTTACTTCCAGCTGCATCCAGGTTTTTCTTTTTCTATAAAACAAAATCTCAATAATAAAAAATTTGTTACATTAAAAAAAAAAAAAGAAGTGTTTAATGTTGATATATTAAATTAATTTTTAAGAAAAATTATAGATATCATCATACATATCTTTTTTATAATTCTTTCTCATATTTTTACAGAAAACAAAATTACATAAAATTTAAATAATTTCCAGAGAAAATCACAGAAAAATTTGAAAATAAAACAAAATCAATAAGAATAAAGTAGAGCAAATGAAGCAAATAAAAGATTATAGAATAGAATTAAAGTAAATTGGTAATTATACTTATAGTACTAAATTTGAGTTTAAAAACTGAATTACATATACTATACAAAATATATTAATATAACCAATGTAAAAAAAAATTGTAAAAATTATTAAATTGACTTATAAAGTTGTCATACAAAAATTAACTGACAATGTTACAAGTCTAACATTAAAAAATTTTCTAAAATTTCTTCCTATAGCTCTCTCTCTCTCTCTCTCTGTGAGCTTTTTTTAATTACGATAAAAGATAAAGAAGATAACTTAAAGATTCATTTTATTTCTTATTAGACATGAATTTAGAAAACATGCATTCATTTTTATTCATATATGGCAGATTATAAAAAAAAGATGAATTATTATCATTTTCATTCAATACTAAAATAATTACTTTAATTTTCCACCTGTTATATTCAAATTATGTACTAAAATTACATGATGAAGATTTTAAGACAGCATGTATAGATCTGTGGACATTTTTTTTTGGTTGATTTGGCAGTTCTATAAAAACAATTCTATAAAGCCCGCAAAAATTGCTGTTTTGGGGGGAAGAATGGGGAAAAACTCATAATTCTGAGCGAGAAAAAATAAACAATATGTTGTTGTTTCTTATACCACTTGGCTGGCCAAGTACACGAGCCCATACGTACTCATGATTGAAGGGGAAGGAAGCAGCTTTTGTTGTGATGGAGCACCCGTAGGTAGAAGTCTGACTGGCTCCGTGACGCTCTTACAGCGGCCTACGGCTTAAAGTGGATTCCGAACCACTACAAACATCCATGGCACCGCCGGGATTTGAACCCGATACCTATGGCACCGAGCGCTAGACACTCGGCCATTCAGGTCCCAAATTTGTGAATGCCAACGGCACGCGGTGTTCCCAGGTGGTCACCCACCCAAGTACTGACCGCGCCCAATGATGATTGACTTCGGTGAAAACATCGCTTTGTTGATGTTTGCTTATTTTGTAAATATGTTCTTCTCTATATAATCAAGTCAAGCCACCTGCGTGTGGCCTACACAGTTCCCACCTACATATGGATGATTTTTATTTTTATTGTAATCTCTTTTGTAACCTGTCCCTTTATTTTTAAATAAATCCGAGTCCTCGCAGATTCCCCCCCCATCCCGTTTTGAATTTTTCTACTTCATTATTATTATTGTTATACTATTCTCTCATTAATTTGCATCCCTGCTAATTTATCTTATTTATTAGTAATTGGGGATTAAAACCTTTTTGGTAATGGAACCCCTCTCCCACCCACCCCCTCGAATGACTTGACTTCGGTGATCTAACGAGAACAGGTATATTCAGCAAGGTATGGCCTTTGGCTATAAACAATATTCTATACACAAGGAACGCACAACAATATTATTTAATTTATACAACACAAAGCAATAACTGCAAAGCAATAGTTACAACACAAGGCTAAACTACAACTAACAAACTTTTTTTAGTTAAAAAAAAAAAAAAAAAAACCATGTTGGATCACCTCACAGTTGCTACACATCCAGAGTCAAGTTTATGCAATCCATTACATTGGTCTTGTAAAAGTTCAGACTGATACTACAACGATTCTTATGGGAAATCGCGAGTTACAGTAGTAATTAAGTGTTACCAAATCAATGATAAATGAACTAATAACGTTACAAAAACGGCAATTAACTACTATATATTTAAGTAATACCATCTATGGAAAAAGAATGAATTATGTTGAAATATTTCATTAAAACCTTCAAACACAATTAAATATTCATCTAAACTTCTCATCCATCAGATGATTTTTAGAAAATTATATTCACAAAATTCAAACAGTAATTATATCCAACTATATATGTGGCACAATGTCAAAAAAAAAATTATCATTAAAATTAGTTTGATTAACTACTTAATATAAAACTTTTTATATTATTAAAAAATATATGAAATTATTATTGTTATGATTCAAAAATATTAAAAAAATACTTACCAGAAATTTTTTCTTTTTTGATAAACTGTAAAAAATAATTATAAAAAATATTAAATATTTTTTTATTACAACTTAGCATTTTTCAATTGAAATTTTATAAAGATTTGAAGCATTTTTAATTAAAAAACCTCAGAATAACTAAATGTATACTAAATGTTTTAAACAAAGAAATGTAACAATTTATATATATGTATATACTCATATACACAGAACCTAAAGCAGAAAAATGTGGCTTGTGGTGGTGCTCCTTTTGCATACCGTTTCACGACACAGCAATTTTACTTTAAACATTTATATATGTAAAATTATATAGAAAAACAGCCCTTTTGAAGAAAGATTAAAATATGGAATAAAAATATTTTATTAATGTTTCCTAATTTAATGAAAATTAGAGATAAGAATTAGTAATGTACTAGTCTGGATGAGAGGTTTCTATTTAATTTTTCATCTAAACAACAACTCCATTGGCAAACAAGATATTAGTATTTAGCCAAGATTTGGTTCAAGAATCTATTATTTATTCTATATGATTGCCAAAAACTATGCTCCATTTTAAAATTGCATACTATATATAAAAAAGCTACAGTTAAAAAAAGGGTTGGCATTGCATTAAAATGTAGAAGTCTATTTTTATCATATATGTTTGTGAATAAATATTTTTATATGAATATTACAAAAATTAATAAAAAATTTACCATTCATTTTAGTGTTATTTACAACAAAAATTGAAAACAAATACGAAAACATTTAATTGATCTATGTAATTACACATTTAAAATATTTTATATAATTTTTTTTTTGTGTGTACAATCCGTAGACAGTTATAGAGCATATATATGTGTCTCTTTTAATTTTGAGCAATCCTAGTCTAGAAGGTATCACATTTTGAAGTTTAATAAATCATTCGATTCATTATTGAACTAAATAAATAAACCCCCCTTTAAATGGAAATGTTTGAAATATGAAGTACAATTTCGAGATGCCTTATCATATGTCTGATATAATCTAGGAACTCAATACATATAAAACTTACATATTCATTTTAAATTTAAATTTTATTTTTTTCAATTAAATTTAAAATGAAATAAATAATTAATTTAATTTAAAATTAAGTAAATGAGAAACAAGTAATGTTATATAAATTCCTTGTAAATATGTAAATGATTGCTTCTTTTAAATAAATTAGTAGTTTTTAGAATTTATTTTTATAATTTACTGAGTAAATGTTTTTGTTCTGCAAAACATATCAAAATCTCTCTAAGTTCGGTTCCTTTCTATCTTTTCTAGGAAAAAAATCATAAAGTAAGATAATGTGGAGAAATTCGAAAATTGCTTAATAAAAATTTTGAAAAAAAAAAGGAGTTTTTCTGATTTTGTTACATTACTAATTAGAACTCAGATTATTAATCTTTTTTACTTTTTTGTTTCACAGAATAGTAAAGGCTGTGGATCTTCTTTTAGAATAATTGTTTAAAATCTGTACAATGATAAATAAATCAATGATATAAAAAAATAAAAAAACCACTTAAAAACCCTTCCCCCACGAAAAAATATGTAGAATGCAGATTTTAAACATGGTAAAACTAATAAATAAAATGAAATACCCACACACACACACAAAAAAAAAAAAAAAAAAAAAACCATAGCTATCTGAATAATAATGATTGAAATAAATAATGATTTCAATGCGAATGAGAGAAGACTTCCAGTTTCAAAGTCGATTTTTATTGATGAATTGGGAGTAAACCTTTCATTAAGTTGTGGAAAAAGAGAGTGGAAATTAAATTTTTTTTGTGGTGAAGTGGAAGATATGAATTAAAAGCAGTAACACAGATAGCTATTGCAAAATACAGCTAAGCTGATGAAATATTTGGCAACACTATTTAGAGATCTGTACCCTAGCATATACTGCTAGAATTAGTCAAAGATAAAATTTATGGCACATTACAACATTAGTTTCTTATGAGTGCATCACAATCTGATTTTCATAGTAATTGTGATGTTACAGATACAACACTTTACCTTTAGATAATATGATGTATATTATGATAGATATAATAAATAGGAAATTTTTTTTCAAAGTAATGACATTTTAAGCGGTACAAATATTATGTTAGACATTCATAGATTCCAAGTGTATTGTTTTTGAAAGAATTAAAAATCGTTTGTATTAATGATAAATTATTGCAAATGGGATCTGCTGAAACTTATTTCAGAAGGCAATAAACTTTTTCTACGAGAATCTGCAAATTGCAGCTATTATATCCACAAACTGAAGAGCATATTCACATTTTTAGGTATGAAGAAACTATTAAGAAATATGAAACTAACATTATCACTGTTGAACTAATATTATTGTAAATAACTTCTACATACCCATATGAAAAGGATTCGAAATTCTCCACAAGTAACTAATGCTAATTTTTATTTACATTGAGCCCTAGTTATTTCTGAAATTTCTTGATTAAATCTACAATTGCAAATAAAAAAAAAAATTCTCACTCAGTATCATTCAGAACAAAAATAAAGCACCCCCCCCACTCCCACCAAGGGATCTATGCATCACTAGTTAAAACTAAAACTGATATTCTAAAGAATTCACTCAGTCCTATGAAAATTATTTGGCAGCTATAGCGAGGGAAGTCCAAGTTCAATGGAGGGAAGCAGAAATTCAACTAAATTTCAGCTTCTATACAACAAATTTGGCTTTTTATCTTTGTGTTCTTTAAAGCAATTGATTAGTGAATCTTTCATTGTTTATTCTGCTAACACTTGAAAGCTAAACAATGAATTGTTGAAGACTGAAGTAGACTGTTTTATTTTGTTGAAAAATCAATGCCCACTGAAGCCGTAACAATAAACAAATACATACACATAAATGATAAATTTAATAGTGAAATTTTCTCACCGGTAATTCTTGATTTTTCCATGATTCTGATCTGAAATATATATTTTAAATGAATTTCTTTGTTTGATGTTAAATAGCAAACTTTTTAATACGAAAAATATTTATTGATTAATATAATGATAGCAAATATTTTCCTAATATTAAAATTTTTATTTAAAAGTAAAATTTCATTAAAGTCATATAGAACAACTTGATAGAACTAATTATAGTAATATTCTGAATTTGTTATAAAATATATAATGTAGGATGTAAATTTTATCAAAAATTTAAGCAATTTTTATTCTTTATAAAACTATAATTCAATCAAGTACCCAACATTTTTTTAAAAGAGTCAAAAATATTCAGACATATGAAATATACTGCAACAAATAGACCAAATTGCAGTTTAGGGGACAAAGAAATTTGGAGAATTTCTTTAATGCCTATCAGGTGATAAGTCGTCAAATATGATAAATGGGGGTTAACAGGGTAATTATTGTTCCTTTATCTATTAGTCATATTTATTTAATTTAATTAGTTTATTTATTTATTGTTTTTCTTATCAATAAAAAAACAATTTATTTTCTATAAAAATTTAATGCAACTGTACTTCAACTTTTATAAAAAAATTCTTTTTCAAAGGATATCCATGGTAACATATATCAGTCACATTTATAATAGCCCTCGAACGTAGATACAATTTCAATTATATGAATTAATTTTAAAAATACTGAAAATTTAAAATTTATGAAATTTTATTTCTATCGATCTCGCTTTTGTGGTGAGATATCTCAATGTGATGTGTGGTCAAGATGATTTTTACTTTTGACAGAAATGGTTCCGGCATGATTTATGGCTCTGGGCCAGAAGATATTATATGAATTACATACAGATTTGAAATATCAAGATAAAATACTTGATCAATGGCAAAGTTTTGTTCGAACAGACCCTGATGGAAGAATTTGACTACTATCTGGAGGAATTCATGTGGGGAATGTTATATGGAAAAATGTACTCAAAGGCTAATTTTAAGACCTATTTGCGAAACATGAAAGGCATATACAAAACCCAGAGATCC